AAGACAAATTTAGCTCGCTCTGCTTATATAACTACATTACTTCTATTTTCTGCATAAAAAGTTGTTTTTGCATGAACTCCGGTGCAGGTGTAGTCATGTGAGTGCAATGTGGGTCAGATACACAGAGGTACAAAATAGTTCTGAAACCTTTTGGCACGACCCCGTTTTAGTCGACTAATCTATCAACCAAGAATTTCCTCATGTGACTACAGCCGTATCCATAGACTATTATATATAAATGGACATAGCATAGTGTTCACGGGGTCACTTCTTGTTCCACTGACCCTGGATCCAATTTACTTCACACTGGAAAATTGCCTCTTTCTATAACTGCTGCAGTGAGCTGGTCTTAAATTGTTCGTTTTAATCCACTCTACATGATCCTGGTGTTTTAATTTAGCTATTTCGTCTGTAAATAAATTCCTATTCCTAATATGGACCTGGATCCAAATTCGCTCCTATAACTGTGAGCCTCGTGAGCTTCATTTGTCTGGAGCCAAACAGGGACTTCTTTATACCGTATATGGCCCTGCCCCAAACCCGTGCTGCTAATGTTTGCCAGCTTCTCCAAGAACTCTAATGTCTCCCGATCTCTCGTTGTTTTATGGCGGCCATATTGCACACTCAGGGATAGTCAGTGAGCTGGAAAACATGATTCATTAATGTGCTTGATTGGCTAAACAAGCTGTATTTCTGTTTAATGCTTCACGTCAACATCACATACAGATGATGGCTATAAAAATATTAAAGACCGAGGCATGACGCTGTGCGCTATCACCAGAGACGCAGGGAGACATTAACTGTGCTTTGGAGCTGTGAGCATAATTCATATATTTATATTTATATTGCGTTAATTACCAGGCATAGTGTCAAAGAGGACTGGGTTTATGTCTCTGTACAAAGGCTGTAATTAGCGACTGCAGAAATTACTGTTGAAGGCTGGCCGCTGCTGTGAGAGCCAGTGAGCCAATGCACTTATATTTGTGTCATCTCTAAAATAATTAAAACCATACTGGCATTATTTCTTCAGGTTGAATGCAAATACTAACATGGATATTTCTAGAATGAGTGTGGTGCTTTTGGATTTAGGGTAAGAGGAAAAGAGAGATCCGGTTACATAATATAATGCATATTTTATAAGTACAAATCAGCAGCTACACCAAAGACTTTTTCATTGAACTAAATTATAAGAGTGGAAACTACAACAACCAGTATACAAGTATTTAAAAGTCCTATATTAGGCTAAATATACTCTTGTGAGCTTTAAAGTTGCACTGTGTAACTTACATTTATTCAATTACAGGTGGTTTTATTGCTCAGAAATACCGAGAAAAAGAGGCATTCTGATGGAGCAGGGTCACCTCTCCATAGATCTGACCTGTAACTTGGCCTGGTTTGATTTTCATGATGATAGAAAGGTTTAATACCATTCCAGACAAAGCAGGTATGTGATGGCCCATCTACCAGAAAAGTTACACAATACACCTTTAAGTCATGTTACGATGTTGTTACTCTCAAAAACACCTGGAGTTGAGTTTTGTTTCATTCACACAAATCCTTTATTGTTAGTCTGTCTACATCTCGAAAGCGTTTGTTGATCTTATGTAACCTGCTGTCTCTGAGTATAAATGTTGTGTTCTTATTGCATTGTCTCAGACTATGGGGGCAGAATTGGCATGGACAGATGTAGGGATGGTTAGATTTTATATCTGTGCACAGTGAGAAATACATTCTCCTTGGAACATTACAATATTCTCTCTGATTATTTCTGATTTATTCTTTAAGTGTTAAGAAATTCCCCAACAGATTGTAGCTGTAGTTTCCGACAGCTACCTTTTTATCTTTAGTTCAGCAGAGATGGGCATTTCCAGGTATTAAATTATCCAAATGATTCTAGTGAAGGTGTAAAGTGTTTAAAAGCACAGTGGAGCACTTCCTGTATTGCTACATGACATCACAAGGTGGAACAGTGGAACAGTGTGTTTTCTGGTTTCTGTTTGAGTAAAAAGTTCAGGCTAAATATGCAGGTGAATGAAACAAAACACAACTCCTTTTTTTGATGAGGAAACAACATTATAACATAGATCAGAAAATAGTGTAACACGGGCCCTTTAAATCAAAATCATCTTTTGAACTCTTCCCATTATATATTTTTTTTAATATTCTGGCATAGGATATGTGTTATCTGCTTCCTAAGAGACGCAGGGGAGGCAGAATATCCCAGAAACCTGTAGGATAAAAATAACAGACGTAATACTTTTAAAAGCATATTTCACTTACAGAACTCAATGCATTTTATTATGAATAAATCATGGCTTTTTACTTGAATTACTTACAGGTGCTTAACGTCTCTGCTGGTCATTATTGCTTAGCCGAGAATGTTCCACTGTATGGCAATAAACATATCTATCTCCATGGAGACAAGCAGGTAACTCTACCAGACCAAGTTACAGATTAGGTCTGGGGAGAGGCTTGCCCACTCTCAATAAAAATTAATGTTTTTCAAAGCACTTTTGAGCAATTCAGACATCTGTAATGAACCAAATTTGAGTGACTTTTGACTTTAGCTCAGATGGTAGTGTTTGTCCACTGGTCTGAAGATTGGCGGTTCGGAATCCCACTCTAAACATAAAACATCATGGGTTCAGAGGTCAGATCCACTGACCCACAAGTTGTCTGGTGTGATTCCAGCTCCCACAGGTGAATGCTGTCGTTGTGTCCTTGGGTAAGACACTTAACCCACCTCGTCCCCAGTGTCTGCGTATGTGATGTGTGTGTGGGGGAGTGTGAATGGGCGAGTGGTTCCTTGTTATAAGAGTACCTTGAAGGTGGAAAAGCGCTATGGAAAAATGTGACCATTTACCATTTACATTTAAATTTTGTGTTAAGTGTGGAGCTAGGGGTGGGGCGTCGGAGGGTTTATTTTTATTAATTTTTTTTATTCTTTTTTTTTTTTTTTTGTCTATTTTTGTTTTTGTTAAATATTAAAATCAATAAAAAACATCTGTAATGACGTATATGCTAAATAGGTAATATATGCCCTATCTCTGCCCTATCTCCATAGAGACAAGCACTTTAAATTAGTTTTACCTATAATGTGAGAAGGCAGAGATGACTTATTTGCATGTATATGGCAATAACCAAAAGTTCAAGCATCTTTCGCCTGTATTATTTTCATATACTAGACTGATCTGAGGGTTCATCCTATATTAAACTTTGTGCAGAGTAATGGGGGCGGATGTGCAGAGAAGCTGCAGGTGTAGCCAAGGGCATTTGCACAATATAGGAGTGGACAGTGCATACACATATTGAGGTGGGGATTGGAGGGGCTCTGTGGATATTAGAGTGATTCCCAGTAGCCCACGGCTCTGAGTGGGCTGCACAGGAGGTTCAGCATACACCACACTGTCCTCCAGGTACGACTTTATCAGTAATATATGTAAAACTTCTAATCTCATGGATCTCAGGCCCGAGGAATTACAGCAGTGTTGCAGATACTGGTTAAATAGTGATGAAATATTTAGTGGTTAATGAAAGATAAGATGTTGAAAGTAAAGCGTGAAGTGAATCAAATTTTGGTTATCCTTGTAATGAAAAATAACAGCTTAGTCACTGAAATTAGAACCTTGGGACATTGATTTGAACAAAGAAATGGTCTGGTATGAAGCAAAACACTAACTGTTCAGTCAGCACTAAACTGTAGTGGAAGGTAACAAAGTACAACTAGTAAAGTACTATTTTTAAGAATAATTTTTAGGTATAAGTACTCCACTTAAGTAAATTATATAGTTGGTACTTACTTTTACTTCATTACCTTTAAGAGCAGGTATGTGTACTTTCTACTTCACTACATTTTTAACTGAACTGAAGTAAAAAGCTCTTTTACTATGATTTCAGGGCTTATTTTTACCATGTCTGTGATATGTTTAAGTTCAAGCTTTGGCTTTCATCAATCAAAAATAAATACACAAAATTCATAAGAAAGTTAAGAAACTGATTTGTATTGACACTGTTGATAAAATCTGTAATCTAACACTTTTTATAGGATTGTAACGATAACCACATCTCACAATACTATATTATATTTTCACGATATGCATCTCACAGTACGATATTTATTGCGATATTTTTTCGGAGGCTAACAAAACTCTGAATATGCTACTTAGTACTTCTTTAAAAAAACATTGATACTGTTAATAATGGTACTGTTGTAATATGAAGAATTAAGATTTAAAAGTGTTGTTAATGTTAAGTCTCCACTGACAACACCAAAGGATGATGGTCTATGTAAGGTAGTTGCCTCTGTTTTTTAGCTACTACTGCACGATAACAATGAATTTAAGTAAAGAGACTTGTAGTTTGATATATGGTGACAGTCCACGAAATTATTATGAGGCTTTTGACGATACGATATCACAATATTTTACTATTTACTTTTTAACTACATTTTAAAACAGGTACTTTAATGCTTTTACTTAAGTAGATTTTTTTATGTGATACTTTCACTTGAGTAACTTTTTGCCTCTGTATCTGTACTTTTACATAAGTAACTAAGTCCTTCATCACCACTTTTATTATAGTACTAACACCAGCTACAAGTACTCAGTATTGTACTAAATAAATGATTTTAGTGACTTCTGCAAGTAGAACGACCCTGATTCAAGTCGAGTCTGGCCACTGTATCTTTATCATTGTGAGAAGAATATCCAAACTGAAGAGATTATTCTATAATTTCTTAACTTTGCTTCTCAAATAAGACAAAAGTTGGACTGGTTCTGACCACAAATGACCTCTTATCTGAATTCTCAACTTAAATAATCAATGATAGTTTCTGTCTTAGGTGGATAATACATGGGAAGATCAATGAGAGGAATCAAAAAGCCAAATCAAAGAGACACTCCTGTTCCACTTCCTACAATTTTAATAAAGGTAAATGATTGGACTTATTATGTAAAAATCAATTTCTACAACTGTGTGTGTCTGAGTGTGTGTAGACTTACTGGAAGCAGTCTCTCTGAGCAGACACATTCTTCAGGTACTGCTTCAGCGCCTCACAGAAATCGCCCAGTTTCTTCTGGTGGACCACCATCTCCTGACGAATCAGCAGCAAGGACTGAGGAGGAACACAGAGAAACAGGTCAGTTCAGATGTGGCTCCTGCGTAAGCCATGGCAGGTGCACTGGTATGTAGGGCTGGAATAAGGCTCTCATCTTGTCCTACAACAACTAAATAAATGTTATCACTGGATATTCAACAGGATATTTAAAGGTATATTATGTATGTATTATTTTCTCCATGAGGGTGTTATTGATTTGTTTGGAATGATCCACAGTATTATTAACGGTTCTAAGTTACCCAAAATGAACTCTTGTGAGCTTTAAGACATGTTAGAATGTTGTTACCTCATTAAAAACATACCCGGAGTTGTGTTTTGTTTCATTTACGCGTTTGAGAAATCTGTCTACAAGTAGTGATAGCTTTCAAGTTAACAGCTACATTTTACCTTTTGTTCCACTGAGATTGGCAATTCCAGGGCTGAAATCTCCTAAATCAGGACTTAATTTTCATCCCCTGACAAGCTCGAGATAAAACAGTGACAGTCAACGCACGCGCAGAGTACTGTAGTGCAGTTAAGGACAGCAAAATGACTAGTGCTAAAGTACGAAAAGTTAACAGAGAGTGCCGAGCTTTCAAAGAACAGTGAACGACCAATTATTTTTTGTTCAGTGTAAGGACCGTGTAGTTTGTCTGATATGTAAAGAAAGTGTGGTGGTTTTCAAAGAATATAATCTGCTTCGTCAGGGTCATACAATTCTGTTACACGGCCCCCATCAGAGGCAGGAGCGATAATGTAGCCCCCAGAGAAAAAAAGGACACCTGTCCTGATTCCAGAGTATGGAGTTTAAAAACACAGTGGAGCACTGCCTCTATTACCACATGACGTCCGAAGGTGGAACAAGAGTGTTTTCAGTTTGAGAGGCAGGGTTTGTGTGTTAGAAACATGTGTGAATGAAAAAAAAAACTAAACTCCAGGTATGTTTGTGATGAGGAAAATTATTACATGAGTAAGAAAATAGCGTAATATCTGTTTAAGCACCTGATGATACCTTCAAGTTTTGTGCCTGTAATGTGAAGAGTTATAAATAAGGGTTAAATAATTGCGAAAGATATAGTGTCAGTTCTAGATAGATCGATAAATAAATAGATAGAGAGCTAGATAAATCCCAAAGGAAATGCAAAGTTCGGCAGCAGCAACATAGAAGCAAACAAAGCAGCATAGAAAAGATATTTAAAATTACCAGTCCATCCTCTTCTAAATGTCACAGTAAATCATGTCTACTTAAATATGAACGGATCTTTGGCTCTTGTTCCATGTGCACGTTACAACAGCTGAAGTTTTTTGCCCATCTCCTGTAATGGTGATCTGTAAGTGACAAAATCTAAATACATTACAGAAGGTGCTCTAGGACTTTGGTTATAATCATGAATCGTAAAATCTCATTTTGAAGCTGGACCGAGGGGCTGGTTTGATCACATCAGATTACCTCCCATCTTTGGTTTTTCATGAGCACCACACTACAGTACAATTAAAAATTCATCCACTATGACCTAGATAACTCCAGAAGATATTCACTGCTCTACACAGGAGACACAAAGCACACAGTTTACATTTCAATGCACAATAAGCGAGGGTAGCTCAGTTTTCAGGTTTTCTCATTCATTTTTTTCCCCTTTTTCTTCTCTCCCTAAACTAACCTTGTTCACTTTTTACCAGGAGAGGAAAGTAACTAATCACAAAAACAGTTTCTTTTAATAGATTTTTTTTACAGTTACAGTTACAGCAACAATATTTGAGGTTTATTTGGTCTTCAGTTATTTTATCTTTAATAGATTCTTTTTTCAGACCAAGATTTAGTTTGTTTTGATACCTGACCGTTTTGACTGCTCACCAGCGGTCTTCCTCACATGATGTTGCGGTCAAAACTGTCAGGTATAAAAACAAAATAAACCTTGATCTGAAAACAGAATCTATAAAAAAATATATCCACCAAATACCAAATAAACCTCATTGGACAAATCCTCGTGTTACTGTAACTGAGTAAACTTCCTGTACTTGTATTAGTAGGAGGATAATTCAAGTTTGTAATTATGCTTCATTACACTGTAAATCATGTAGAGTCCCAATTGTCTCAGTGCACGGCTGTGTTACCACTGTCTGTTCCTGGAAACACAAAAGCACTGCATCACCTGCTCTGACTGGACAAAATGTGGGCTCTGGTAGCTAGAGACCAGTGCCAAAGACATGGTCCACTGGAGACCGTTATGTGCCAACAGAAGCACAGGAAGACAGTACACAGCAAAAAACTGACTGTTGAAATTGACTCTCACAAAATCAGTTTTAACATTTTCTCAGGGTGTATATGAGTCCAATCTGTTCTAGAGTTAATTTAAAACTTTTGGAAATGTTAATTAAGTAACACTAGACCAAAGTTCCTGTTTAACCCCAAAATCAAGAGTTATATTAATGTTTTGAGTGTAAACAGATAACACTTTATTTGAGTTATTTTAACATTTTAGGGAGTAGCAACTAGTAGTAAGTAGTAAGTAGTAGTGTAAATTAAGATACACTGTAAAAAACACACACATTCAGTGCATGTAAAGCCTTTATTTTCTTTAAAACATTGTAAAAGATGACGTTATATACAAAACTGGTCCAAACTGGTCTTCTCTAGCGGGAGTTTGAAGTAGTGGGTGGGAGATGCCAAATTAACACTGATGGAAGTTGAATTAACTTCAACTATATCAACTCTGGCAAATAAACCTAACACAAAACCTCATTTAACTTTCAAATAGTTAAAATAACACTTGTGTTAAAAACATCTTTGAAATATTTTAACCATCCAGTTTTTGTTGTGTAAGAAAGTAAGCAAGTACCGGTAAGTGTTTTAAAAAGAGAAAATTCAGTTTTACACAGTTTGACTGATCACATTTTGTGGAAAAGGCTTCTAAAACTTTGCTTAAAAGTAACTAATACTCTCACTAGTATTACATGACATCATGAGGCAGGAGTTGTGTGTTAAACAAGTGTGAATGAAACAAAACACGACTCCAAGTATGTTTTTGATGAGGAACATTGTAACATAGATCAGAAAATTACATAATATAGGTCATTTAAGTACAAATTTGGCAGCAGTGCACTTGTAAGCAGGACATGTAACTGTAGTTTTACTTGAGTACACATTTTCAGAACTTTTTTCCAGCACTGCTTTTCACTGTATCATTCTATCGTCTCTATCTTTCACACAGAGCTGAGGGTGGGGACATAAGCACCAAGAAATAGAAGTGTGCTCTTGTTTGACCTGACCTCACCCTCTGCTTTTGTCCGCTACACTCCAGTCCTCTGGCCACTTACACTCTTACTCCTGCCATACTGATGAGACCAAAGACCGGCCTGGGAATTTCAATCAATGCCGCTTTTTGGCTGTTGAATTTTTTTGCTTAATGATAAGAGCCATAACTTTTCACTGAGCAGCAAACCTTTATGGGAGAATTATGCTAGCTCATGTCTCTCATATGTTTTATAGCTGTCAAAGCCGGTTTTAATGGCATGTAATGACTATTTTATCTCCTCACATCCATGTTTATCTGCTGCTGTTATCTTAAACTGCTCTCAGGGGGCTAACCACTCTGCCGCACATGGATGAACAAGCCAGCGCATGTTTGTTTAAAGAGCCCATATTACTTTATTTTCCTCATCACAAACATACCTTGAGTTGTGTTTTTTTTCATTCACACGTTTAACACACAAATGCTGCATGTGCATAGGTGTTCATGAGTACTTCTCTCAAGCAAAAAAAAGTCTATTCCACCTTGTGATGTCATGTGGTAATACAGGAACTGCTCTGCTGTGTTTTTATACTACATACACCTTCACTAGAATCTTCTGATTAATTTGCAGTCCTGGAATTGCCCAGCAGAGGGCTACGCGAGACAGAATTTTCAGTCCCGCTCCCACCCCCATCCGCATTGTGCAGTCCTGCTTCCGCCCGCAAAGAATTGTAATTGTCATTCCTGCTTCTGCCCGCATCTGCGATATTTTGTCCCGCTCCCCACAAGATTGGGACATTCGCTTTCTTAAGCTTCATCAAATGCAGAGAAGTGGAAAGGAATTGTCTAAAATGCATACAAGATTAGACCACGTCCGCAAATTTAGGCTGCTTAAAATGTTTTTATTAATCACAAATAAAATATCCAGCATAAATGATGTATGATAAGCATACATTAATAATTTGTATATTTTACTTACTTACTCACTTACTTACTTACTTACTACACTCATATTTAGTTTGCGAGACTGCAGTTTATCATCCCACCTGCCCACTCCCACATTGTGCAGTCCCGCTCCCACCCGCACCCACAATGAGCTTTCAAAATGTGTCCCGTGCCACAATGTTTTGCATTGGGTCCTGCGGGTGCAGGGCTCTATTGCCCATATCTACTGAACTAAAGATAAAAGGTGGCTGTTACCATGAAAACTACTGCTTCATGACTTCACAAGGTGGATTAGAGCATTTTGAGTTTTGGAGATGTAGACAGTGTGCTAATAAGGGATTACTCAAACATGTGTGGATGAAACAGAACACAACTCCAGATATGTTTTTGATGAGGTAACAAAGTTAACATCATTATAACATGGCTTAAAGCTCACAAGAATCAACTTTGCGTAATTTGGGCCCTTTAATATATGAAGTAATAAACATTAGTGAAGTGTACAAGCTGCTCACGAGGCAACATGGAGGCACAGTTACGAGTCTGCAGTCTACCTGAGGACACAGACACACAGAGGAACACACCAACTCAATTAGAAACAGCACATTGGCCAGCAGCCTCTGTTAATCTAATCATTGCCACTCCATTAGCTGCGCTGCCGCCCCGACCGAATCACTGCAATTACATCTGCTCCCCCCAGACCGGCCAGGTACAAGAGGGACTCTCCCTGATACTGTAGCACATCTGCACTATGAACTACAGAGGGCTTCAGGAGGGTGGGGCTTCTGTAAGGGGTGAGGAGTTCAGAAATGTTGATGACCAATATATCGTATGAATGTTTGA